GGGAGGCAGAAATAGGTGGTCCGCACCAGGGCCCCCCCTGGTCCAGTAAAGCAGCTGGCCAGGGAACTGCTGAGACTGGGGGCGGCAGCCCCCCCCACTTGCCTGGCCCCTCCCCTCCCAGCCTGGACATGGTTGCTTGTCTCCATGTCCATAAAGGCGGGGCCAAAGCAACAGCCCCCCCGCATTGCCCTGCAAAAGGAGAAGCCCTTTGGGGTGAGGTGCCCATTTGCCTGCGACGTCCCCCCACCCCAGGGAAGGCTGAACACCACAGCAGCTCTAACAGAGGGGAGGGCTCTGCTGGATCAGGAGGGGGTGGTGAAATCCTTCCCCCCAGAAATCCCCCCCCCCCCAATTCCCTGCAGAAGGGCCAGAGAGCCACACGCACTGCTCCATCTAAGACCATTTGATTAGCCTTCAGCCTCGGCTGCCCTCCTGTGCAGTGGCCACTCTTGAGGCACTCAAAGGCTGTTGGTTGCGCAGGCATCAGCCCCCTCCGCCCCTCCGGCTTGCCCTCCACGTCTTCGCCCAGGACTTGGGGGCTGTCCCAGGAGGGGCAGCACATTCTCCTTCCGACTGCAGCTGGCCTGAGCAGGGTTTCGTTTCGTTTCCTTTATTGCCATTGCACCTCATACAACAAAATCAAACACCATCTTCAGTGCACATCATGGCCATGAAAACAAACACAAACACACATCCCTCACACTCCACACATTGAACCGAAAACTCCCGACACCGCAACAACATTGCACTATACAGTGGAATTCAAAAGAGCTACTGCCCTGGGATAGAGGCTGTTTTTCAGCCTATTTGTCCTTGTTTTTATTATTGTCCTGTACCGTCTGCCAGATGGTAATAGTTCAAAAAAAGGGGTTCCCAGGATGAGATGGATCTTTGAGGATGTTTTGGACTTTCCAGGACTAGCTGAAATAGAGCCAGTCAGGCAGAGGCCTTAAGGTCAGCAACTGCTCCCCACCTCCTGGGGAACTGGCCTCCTGCCCCCCAGCCAATGAGCCAGCCTTAGATGCTCACACCGTGGCTGCCCCCCAGAGGTGCCTGGAGCTCTCCTGGGCCACGCCCTGGACTCCAGGATGGGGCCATTTGGCCGCCAGAGAGGCTTCCCAACTGAGAGAGAAGGCCACTCCTGTCCAGAGTTCAAGGCCATGGAATGGATGCCACTTTGCCTGAGTGCCCTGCCTGCCATCCTCACGCGTGGTAACAGCAGCCCCCCACCCACAAGGGCAGAGATGAAGGGGGGAGAAATGCACGCCCCCAATTGAGCCTTGCACAGGGAGTCGCTGTGTTGCTGGCTTCCGGCCTCCAGTGGCAGCACTCCAAGTCCCCCGGGTCTTTCTGTGGAGACCGCTGGGCCTCACTGGGCCCTGACCTCCAGGGTGTCCTCCAGCTGCTCCGAAAAGGGGCTGATGTGTTTCAGAGTGTTATAGTTGGGTGGGGGCGTTTGGGGCGGGGACAGCCGCATGGCCGTGTTGAAGGTGGGGGGGTCGTCGTCATCCTGGGCGCAGGCCGCGTTGTGATACCCCTGCTCTGGGCGGGTTGGGGGCCCCCCATCGGCCTCTTTTTGGTCCTGCACGCTTGAGTGGCCCCTCCACCACCGCTTGACTTTCTGCCACTGGTAACGCAGGACAATGCAGAACGTGTCCAGGAAGAAGACCTCCACAATCTCAATGACGCAGACCACCGAGCAGCTCATCCACAGCCCCAGCTGGCCGCCGAAGTTGGACAGGAGCAGGACAATCTGGGGGGAGAGATGCGAGTGTGACTCCCGTGGTCTCCAGAAGGTGACCGCCCAGATCCTGGCTGAGAAGGTGGACAGACGTGCCCCCGACTCCTGAGCCAGATCCAGAGGTTGCCAAGGCCCTCCCAGGTCCCACTGCCACCGCTGGGAGACGCCAGTGGTTCAGAGGGCAGGGAGGCCGGATGGATTGGATGCCGTGCCCTCAGTGGTGGCATTCGGCTCGGGCTCCCCTACTCACCCTTCTCTTCTGCTTTTGAAGTGCAGCTCCTTTGCGTGGCACAGAAGAGTGCCACGCGCCAGCTGCTGAAGCGACCGGGAAAGTGCAGGATTGCAGGAGGGGACTCAAAATGCCTCTGCGCCCACCAAGCCTCACCCACTGAACCGGTGGTAAAAATATTCGAAACACAGCACTGCCTGTCCCGCCTCTCTCAAGAAGGGCCAGCAGGGAGGGGTGGGTTCTGGACATCCAGCCAGCAAAGGATCCAGGTTCTGTGGGGGGCAATTGGGTCCCACAAAGCAGACCAGCCTGGGACTTAGTCAAAGGGAAAAAACTTACATTGTTGGCTGGATTTTCGGTGATGAACCTCTCGTTCAGGTCTTTGTAGAACACCACTAGATTTGCCAGGTCTGTCCTGGGAAGGAGGGAGGGAAGGGCAGATGAGGAGTTCTGGGGAGCCAGTAAGAGGGACAGCCAACGAGGGGCCCAGGGGCAGGAACAGCCTTGAGGGCCAAAGGGTTCTGACGGCTAAAGAGGCAGCGGGAAACTTACTTGTTTAACATCTTGTGGCTCTTTAGGCCTTTGTCCCAAGAGAGAACGCGCAGGATCCACTCCTTCCAAGGAGGAGGAAGAGAGAGCAAGAAGGTTACGGGAATGTCTTTGCGTGGTTCTCTCCCCCCCCCCCGGCTCCTCTCAAGGCCCACTTAACCTTCCTAGCCAGAGGCAGTACAAGCGGTATTTAGCCGGTTCTGAAGAACCGGGAGCGGAAATTATGAGCAGTTTGGAAAATCGGCAAATGCCACCTCTGATTGGCTTGGCCCATCTCTTCTCTGCCTCCCATTGAGTCCCAGCTGATTGGCTGGGTCTCCTTTGGTTGCCCTGCACAGGAGAACGGAGCTGGAAAGCAGGTTAGTGGGGTGGGGAGGGAAGGGGGATTTTACAGTATATCCTTCCCCTGCCACACCCACCACGCCACGCCACACCCACAGAACTGGTAGTAAAAAAATTTGATTCCCACCACTGGTGTGCCCCCCCCCGGTTGGCCTCCTCAGAACGGTCACTCCCAGCCTGGGGTGGGCAACGGAGTGTCTGTCCCCACAGGCCCCAACCCAATTTCCACTGGTCGCTTCCCCTCTGAAGAAGGAGACCGGCAAGATGGCGCCCTCTGTGCTTCTGGCACCCGCTGGAGCCCGGTTAGAAGCCAACTGGGCTGGGGGCTCCCAAATGCCTCTCCAGCTGCTGCCGAGTACGGAAGGGCAGCGCCCGGCAGGCCTGCCTTACTTGCCTCGGACATGCTGGACGGCCACTGGGCCAGACTGGTGGTCAGCGTCCACTCTTTCAATCTGCGGAGAGAGGCAGCGGCTGAGTAGCTGGGAGCAAGGGGGGCTCCAATGCAGGGCAAGGCCTCCCAGCTCCCCCCTGGTTCAGGGCTTCAAGGCACAGGGCGTTAGAAGAGCTCCCAGCAGCAGCGCTAGAAGGGACCCTTGTTGTGATGGGCGGAGGGTTTCTAAGTGTGGAGCAGGCCCTGCTGGGACATAGACCCCTGGGGGCCCCCCGGGGCGTGAACGGGGGGGGGGGGGGGGGCTTCCGGCCAGGACTTACTTGCAAGCTTCTCTGCAGATTTGCTGGCAGCCCAGCTGCTCTTTCACAAATCGTTCGTGCAGCTTGTAGTAGCAGTACACTGCAGGGGAAGAGGAAGGAGCGTGATGGAGGGGGGGAGGGGCCCAGGGAGGAAGCATCTTGGGGGGAGCCTGAGAAAGGGCAGGGGGGGACTTCTCTTCAGCGCTTGGGCAGGGAAGGAGAAGCCAAGGGGGGGCAGGCCCGAGGCAGCCCCAGGAAACGAGGGGAGCTTGGCTTGGCTGCCACTTTCAAGGGGCCTCAGGAGACCCCAAAGCCACCCTGTGCCCCCTCAGCCGCTTGAAGAGAGGGGGGCTTTGAGAACTGTGCTCCAAAGCCAGGGGGCCGCAGTCCACCTCTGACCTCTCGGAGACACTTACTCCAATTGGGGTATTTCTTATAGTTGCAGAATTCGGCTCCGGCCGGCAGCGGCTGAGCATACTGGGCACATCCACAGGTTTTCACCATTGAATTCTGGAGGCAGGAATGCAGGCAGATCTGCACGGGGGGGGGGGGGGGGGGGGAATCGAGTGCTGGTGAGATCTGGTGAGATGGCACCATGGTCTTCTTCCTCGTAACCCCTAGCAGCCGTGGGAGGGAGGGAAGGAGGGAGGGGCCACGGGGCTTGGAGGGCCACTGAAGCAGGCCACCCTGGGCTGGGCAAAGAAGGCGGCCTCGATTCGCTGAACAGCTGGGAAGGGAAGGCCCAGGGCCCCCGCTGAATGGGGCCAGATCTAACGGGTCCTTCTTCAAGGGCAGCTGCAGGGAAGGCCACGGCCAGCGGCGGTCAAGGTGGACTCACCTGCAATGAGTAGCTTTTGTTGTAGAGGTTCTGCACAGGAACATCCGCTCCATCCTCCGTGCAGTTGCTGTACGGCCGGCTGAGACGGTGGGACGTGGTCTGCAGCGGGCCAAAGAAGAGCTCTGTTGGGGAGATGCCTGGGGGAAGCCAGGGGAGGGGGCTTGGGACCACCAGGGGAACACCCTTCCGCCAACGGCTCCAAGGGGGCCTCTCTCTAACCTGCCCAGGAGATGCAGCTTTGAGCAGGGCAGGGCAGGGCAAAGAACGCGCGAAAGTCCATTTCCCAAAGAGCCACCCAGCCTGTCCTGCTCCCTGGGCCGAAGAACCCAAGTTGGGGCCACTCACATAGTGCATCCCGATGGAGGTGGCCGTGGCCGTCTCTATCTCAGTGCCGATGTCCTCAATGAAGGGGTACTCATCCTGGTCATGGATCACAATCTTTGCCCCCGTGGAGGTCACCAGGAAGGGGTTGTAGTCGGCTTCCTCTATGTACAGGATCACCTGCAGCCCTGGGCAGAGAAGCAGGAGCCACCTGAGGCCCTGCAGGTAGAATGAGCAGGACCAAGGCGGGGGTGGGGGAGGACAGGTTGGGAACATGCTTCTAATGTAATATCCGTCTTGTGTGTAATTCGGTGCTGGGAGGTTTTTCCCCTTTTCTGTTCAATCCTGTCTGATTATGTCAATCCTGTCAGAGAGTAATCAGGACTGCAGAAAAAACAATGGCTACCAACCTGCCTTCCATGGAGAACCTGCATGCTGCATGAGTCAAAAAGAGGGCTGAGAAAATATTTACAGATCCCTCACATCCTGAACATAAACTGTTTCAACTCCTTCCCTCAAAATGACGCTATAGAGCATTGCACACCAGAACAACTAGACACACAAGGACAGTTTTTCCCAAAAGCCATCACTCTGCTAAACAAATAATTCCCTCAACACTGTTCAACTATTACAAAGTCTGCATTACTATTACTATTAATCTTCTCATCACTCCTTATCGCACATCCTCTCCCAATTGTGACTCTAGGACTGTAACTTTGTCGCTTGTATCCTTACGATTTATATGGACTGTTTCCTAGTATGATTTGATTGCTTATTGTACCCTATGACTATCATTAAGTATTGCACCTGATGATTCTCGACTCTTGATGAATGTCTCTTTTCTTTTATGTACACTGAGAGCATTTGCACCAAGACAAATTCCTTGTGTGTCCAGTCACACTTGGCCAGTAAAGAATTCTGTTCTATTCTATTCTATTCTATTCTATTCTATTCTATTCTGTTCTGTTCTGTTCTGTTCTGTTCTGTTCTGTTCTGTTCTGTTCTGTTCTGTTCTATTCTCAGGGGCTGCCTGGAAAAGTCCCTGCACTTTTCTTGACCAGGTGTTCCCGAAGCGATTTCCTGCTGACCCAGCTGCAGAAAGGCAGGGGAAGAACTCCCCTTCTCCTGGTGTCTAGCCTGGTGCCCCGACTATGACACCCATACTGCAAATCACTCCTCTACAAGGGATGGGTTGGGTGGTAACAAACCCTTTCCAGAGAAAGGGACACTGGCTTTATCTCCAAACAAGACCAGGCCACAACAGGCATCTCCTGATCAGAAACCATCACATTCCCTAAACGAGAGCCCAGGAAAGGAGCCCAGTTCAGCCTCGACAGTCCATGACTGTGCTTCCCATCCACTGAGCCAGTATCCACTGCTTTTCTCCCACCAATAGTTCTCTTGGGCTTCCCTGAACAAGCCCTTCCACTGATGGGAGCTGCCGGACGGACGCTGAGATGCTGTCTATCAAACGAGGGAAGGGCTTGGTGCTCTGCTGTTCTGCGCAAAGAATTGGATCCAGGTTGAAACGAAGGCTTTTGTCTCCCAACCACAAAAAAGGAGTCAAAGGCCACAGAAACCCGGCTAGTTACTATCATGCATAGCAAAGACGGGAGGAATCTCTAGCTACTAAATCAACTCTGAAATCCTAAGCAGTCATTTCAAGGTTTTGTACCTCCAGTCCCCACTCACTCATTTGGGAGTCGGGCTGATGGAGCCCTTGACATATTCTACAGGAGACCCCGGACTTCGCTCACATCAATGCTAACATCAGGAGATCAAAGGAAGAGAGGAGGAAGAGGAGGTGGAGAAGAAGGAAAAGTTAAAGGACTTAAGACTGGGAACCTGAATGTCAGTTCCTGAAGAAAAGGACCAGGGGAAGGAGCAGGAAGAGCTGCTGGCTGCTGGGCACCCGGGCATCAAAGACTGGAGATGCACCTGGAAGTTTCCTAAACTAAACGGAGCATCTCCATGGCGCCTCGGGTGGCCCAGAGGTGGAAGTGGGATGCAGCTTAGAATGAAAGATGCCAGGTGAAAAATAGGCCAGGTAAGTGCAGGAGGCGGGTGTAGAGGACCAGAAATCCCAAGAAGCTTCAAGGGCCACTCCGAGACAGCAACTGAGGCGATCCTGGACCACAATTCTCTGTTTCTCAGCATCCTCCTTCAGAAGGGTGGTCGTTAAAGAGGCTTCTATAAACAACAATGCCAAGTGAGTAGCGACTACTAGGCATCAAGAATCGGGGATTAGGTTAATAAGCTGTGGCCACGATAATGGTGAGACATGATTAACATGGCTAAGAAACAGGCTGGCCAACAGCCAGGCAAACGAGGGTCCCCAGGAGGCCTTGGATGGATGGGGCCTCGGCCAGGTGGGCAACCTGATTGAGGAGATGACAGCCTGATGTGGAAAGGATCTTGGGAACAAGAGCAGCAAAATGAAATCGCAGGTAAGCGAGTCAGAAAGGACGCCAGTGGCTGGCAAAGAGCCCGCCTCACTCCCTTCTCCTTTGCTCCAGCTCCAAGCTCTCCGCAGCCCCTGCGGCTCTCACCATTCTCACTGCCTCCCGTGGATGTGGTCAGGATCTTCCCCCCTTGACCACTGTTGAAGGTGTAGCAATTTCCGTGGAGAGGATGGTGGAAGGAAGTGAAGTTCCTGAGAGAGGCCACAGAGGAAGCATTTTACTAAGAATATTATGCATGCACTTCCCCAAACTAAAAACAGGTGTGAGAAACGTGTTTCTACTGCCTGGATCAGGGGTCCTCAAACTTGGCAACTTTAAGATTTGTGGACTTCAACTCCCAGGAAGGAGTTGAAGTCCACAAGTCTTAAAATTGCCAAGTTTGGAGACCTCCGGCCTGGAAGGAGGAGAACAGGACTCTGGCTTTGTGACAGGGTTGCTCTCCTTCTTCCTTATCTTCCAAATGGAGAGCTGAGGCTGAAAAGCAGAGAGCTTAACTGGGTCAGTTACAAACATGGACCAATTCTGGCCGGAGTTTTTCTGCCCCTTAATTGGTGGAGTGAATCTGGTGGCTATTCAGTGCAGCTCGCAGGCTAAGCTGGCAATGAGAACGTAGCCCTTGGGTGAAATGGCCCGCCCTTCTGAGCTGGCCAGGACTGGCATGCCCTCCCCACCCTCCCTCTCTCTTTCTTGGGTGAAGCAGGAGCTGCCCAGGTGGCTGCTCTTGCCTTCCCTTTGCCCAGAGCCAACCTGGCATCACAGGAGTCCCCGTCAAACAGGCAGCTCAGCATCAGCTCCTCTGCCGAGTAGCTCATCCGCTCTTTCTCCTCCGCACTGATCTGAGCCATGATGTTCATGTAGTGCAGCTTGTACCACTCCTGGATGGCATTGACGCCTGAGCTGAAGGTGTACACGGTGCAGTCGCTCTTGTTGCTGGTGTCACACTGCAAGAAAGGTCACAGGCTGGGGAAGGAAGGCAGCCCAGATTGCCTCTGAACTGTGGGAGGCCCCCTCCCTCTCGGCCCTCTGTGGGCACATGGCTCATGACAGAGCCAAGGGGTGGGCTTCCCCCTTTGCCACAAGCCCTGCCGCTCATTCCAATCCCAGGAAAGACCCCCCAGCTCTCCCGGAAGAAGAAGCCCTCACCAGCTGGAAGCCCACGATGTCCCGGGGGCTCCTAACGTTGACTATGCTGGAGCTGCCCGAGATGATTCCAGCATTCATCCGCCGCTTGTACCCGGCGGAGACGTTGATGGTGGGCTTGGCGCGGAGGTCGGCCAGTTTCATCAGGGGAAACTGCCTGAGAAACTTGCTTTCCTCGGGGGGCTGCCTGCCCGCATCGCGGCGTTCCCGGGGCTGGCTTCCTGCTCCCGAGAAGTTATACAAGGACTCCAGCACTGACAGGGTCTCCTTGTCCAGGTCTGCGAGGTGCTCCTTTATGGCACTGTATCTGCACAAGAGGAGGAGCCGCCGAGGAAAGGTTTGGACTTGGAGGGAAAGGAAGAAGCCCTCCCCCCTCCCCCCCATAGTCTTCCTCTGTCCGTCCCCTGCTGCGGATTCCTGCCCACCGCCAGCACCTACTTGTAAGGGTTGATGTTGCAGATGGTCACGGCTGGGAAGCGCAGCTTCTGGAACTGTACGGTGACGGAGACGGAGGCCGTGTAGTAGTTGATGACCAACTGGGCGCAGTACCACAGGATCAGCCCCACCGCTGTCAAGGTCAGGAGGATCCAGAGGACGCGGCGCAGGCGTCCCCGGGAGACCACGATGCGCCGGCAGCCGTGGGTGTTGGTGTTCATGCAGTACCAGTGCATCAGCTCCTTCAGGGTGGGGGCCTGGGGGCCCGTCACGGGCAGCGTCTTCTTGATCTTGGCCTTGATCTTCTCCGCCGGAGCCATGTTGCCTGGGGTGTCTGTCCTGAGGGGGACAAAGCGGGAGGAAACTGTCTGGGGGAGACTCTCCCCTCTCCGGCCCTCCGTTCTCCGGCAAGAGCCCGTCGCGCAGCTCTCCCAGGCTTCCTCCAAGGGCCGGCCAGCTAAAGGAGCGGGGCGCCGAGCCAGAGCCACGTTGGGCCGGACGACTCCTCCGGCAAGCGGCCGCGCTCTGGCCCGGAAAAGGGCTGCTCTCCCGCCGCCCGGGACTGCGCAGCTGAACGCGCCCCGACGGTGCCGGCTGCCGGCTTCTTGCGCGGAGCAGGCAGGCGAAGCTGCGGCGTCGGCGGCCACGGAGGATTCGCGGAAGCCCCAGCTCAGCCCGCCACGCTGGCCCGGGCAGGAAGGGGCGGCCGGCAGTCGCGGTTCCCCGTCCCGCGGCAGAGCCCGCTCGCAGACAGGGCAGCGCCGTCGAGGAACGGCCGGGCGAGCTGCCTCTCCCCCCACCCAGCAGGGCACCCGCGCGTCGACGGCGACAGTGGGGGCTCCGCCGGCCCCGCGTCTCACCTGCCAGACGCCGCGCCTGAACCGCCGGGACTCTCCGCGCTGTGTCCGCCGCCGCCGCCGCCGCGCCCCGCCTCTCTCGAGTCGGCCGGCGCCCCCGCCCTGCCAACTGACTGCCCCGCCGGCCAGGCTGCCTCCCGGGCGCCGGCGGTCCTGAGGCGGCCCCTGTCGGCGGCGGGTGGCGCGGCAGCCGCTCCCGGGCGCCCGAGCTGTGCCCGACGAGGCTGTGGGGCGCCGGGGGAGGCGTCTTGCATCGGCACAGAGCTGCAATCGTTTGTGTCCCTGCGCCCACTCCAGGCTCGGCCCTGCAGTTGGCGCAGGGACACAAAAGTGGCGGCCAGGCCAAGGCCGGGAGACGAAGGGACGGCAGGAGAGGTTGGAAGACTTGGCTGAGAGGTCCAAGATGGTCCCCTCCAGGCGGAGGGGGGTTCAGAGCTTGGAAAGGGGGGGCACCTTGGCAAGAAGCCCAGCTGAGTGGAGCCCCAGGAAGCTGCCAGGAGGGCTGGCTGGGGATGGACGGAAGAGAGGTGGGGAAAGAAGGCACTTGGGGCCGGGTGCACAAGGGGAAGCTGGCCGAGAGCCCCTTTTCTAGGCCATAATAACGGGCATAAATTGCAGCGACCTAACTCTTGTCTAAACATAAACGTTCTTAAAGGTGAGGTCTGTATGACCATGGAATGGCCTACCTATGGAGGTTATGGGTTGGTTCTCCATCCCTTGAAGATGTTCGGATGCTGGGCAACCCCCTCTCCTGGGTGGCTTTCCCACCCATGACCGAGGGTTGGACTGAAGGATCCACCGGCTCCCTTCCGACTCCACAATTCTGTGATTCTGCAAAGCCAGCCCGTGGTGGTCTTTTGGCACTCCTCTTAAACAGACAAGGGTTTCAGGGAATAAATAGGTGGATTTAATTGCCATCCTTCACTCTGCAGGTGACTAAATCAGTTTCTCCTGCTATCCAAAGGACCCCAATTTTATGCACCAAACCCAGCAAACTCTGCCTTTGGGCCTGATCCAGTTTGTTCGCCTAACAGCAGAGGGTGCCATTTAGAAGGCGCTGTGCTTCCTTCCAGACATCCCCTGCCTGTGTTGGAGGCTGAGCATGCCAAGGAAAGGAAGGATGTTTCTCTTTTTTTCCCCCTTTAATAAATTTTATTAGATATAATCTTTAAAAACATGGAACATGGTGGACTTCTTTGACATACATTGTTGTCGTTACATATTATGTTAAATACTGTAAAAATTTTGTACACTTATATACATATATACATTTAATCTTTATACATTTTAAATCTGACTGGAGCTCTTCAAAACAAATAAACCAAACGACACAATATCCCATGAAGAAGGACCAGTAGTCATCTACAACATGTAGTGTAAGGACTGTAGCAGCCACTATTAGCGGAAGAGTAGCAGAGCACATCCACGAACATTAGCTAGCAGTCAGAACACGGAATTTCATAACACAAGGACAGACTAAACTCTAGTTTTAACAGGGAAACCATGAGCACCCTAGACCAAGCTAAGTCCAAAATGCTTAGGGAATTCCTGAAAGCTTCACACTCAGACAAATCAGCCATTAAAAGGCACCCAGATATAAACAATATTTACACACCATTCAAGAGGTAATAAACAATCTGAAAAGGGAAATAAAAAGACCAGAACATACTCTCCAGAAGCCAACACCCAGGTAAACAGGGATTAACACCAGAGAAACAATTGAACAATAAACAACAGCTTAATCAAGGAATTACCAAGGAGAAAGCCACACCTGCACCAACACTGGCAGGGCAAGCTAAACAGAAAACAAACCTCATTCCCTTCAAGTACTGAAGATGTTACCTAATCAGGCAATGAAATGTCTGCAAGAAAACATCCACGCTCAGGGAGCACTGGACTCCACAAAGAGAGAACACTGCTCAAAAAGTTAAATCAAGTTTGAAACACTGTTAAGGATGTTTCTCACAACCCAGCAGAAAAGGTTGTGTTTTGCACTGGCATTTATGAATGAATGAATAAAAGAAAGAAAACGTATACGGCTGCCTAATTCCTTCTCAATGACTCTGGGCAGCTTACCAAGATAAAAAATCTCATATAAAAGGTGACACCCCACCCCACCCCCAATAACAACCATCAGTCAAAGAAGCCACTGGATGGGCTCCATCCCACTCTGGGTTCCCACAGGCCCGTTGGCAAAACCAGGTTTTCAAGGCCTGTCATTTCCTTAACAAGTTCTGCACCTCTTAATAATGTGCAGTGACCTTCAAAGATTCTTTAATATTAGACACTAGTAGTGCTACTCGTGTTATGCACCCGTGATGAAACACTTCCAATTCCAGACGGGGATGTTGTGTCCCAAGCCCCCAAGCCTCTCTTGTGCACTACTTCCAGGGGACCTTCCCTTGCTACTAACATGGATTACCCCCTTTATAACAATGGCAGCCTTCCTCCCTCCATCCACTGAAACCCTAAAACCCTCGGGTGCCTAGCCAAGGCCGAGTGCCCCCTGATCCACGGGGCTTGAGAGTTTCCTGCAGGGACCGGCCAGCCCAGCAGATAACAACGGTTGGGCATCAGCAGCCTGTGTGTGGGGAGGGGCCTGAGAACGAGGCTTCTTCTCCCCTTCCCCTCCTGCGTTTCTCTTCGCTGTGTCTTTTCTTGCCATCAGCACCTGGTGGCCTTGCCTGCTGTGACCCAGGAGCCTCGCAGCTTGTTCTTGGGAGGAAAACTTGTGTGGGGCTGAAAGAAAACCTTGAAGGGCAAAGTTATGCTGCCGATTCAGTGGGACCCAAGTAAAAAAAAATGGACAATTCTCTAAAGATACAATAGAAAGTAATAGAAAAAGAAGTTATTCATAAATATCTATTATTCTTGTTTTATTTACTAAAAATTTGGACTCTCGTGGTGCAATCAGAATGCTTCAAGGGAACACAGCTTATTCAGGGAGAAAATATACAGTATACGCCTGATTTAAAAATTGAGTGGGGGAATTTTTTTTTAATTTTAAATTTTTTATTAAACATAACTTTTAAAAAAACATTGAACATGGTGTAGTAGTTTTGACATAACTTTTGGTCATCATTCTAATGAAATAAAATAGAATATAGATCTTATATACATATGTATACATATGTACACATATATACATTTATTCATCCTTACTTACATCTTCCAACATTCTTGGTATTATTTAAGTCTCATGATCACAGATGTCCTCTTAACAACTCTTTCAATCTTAAACCCTTCCTTTCTGTCCCCACCAATAGCAGAATCTATTCCAAATTATATAATATTCTGATTCATCCTTATTTTTCATCTCTAGTGTTAGCCTATCCATTTCAGTGCAAGACAAAATTTTATTTATTACTTCATGTTCACTAGGAATTTCTTTCTCTTTCCACTTCCAGTCAAATACCATTCTTTCTGCAGTGATGACATGTATTATCAAATATAACTATTCCTTCTTATATTTTTTGGTATAATTCCCAATAGGAAACATTCTGGTCTATGGTCTATTTTAAATCCCATCATTTCTTCCAATCATTTCCCAATCCTGTGCCAAAACTCTTGTGCTTTTTTACAGCTCCACCATGCATGATAGTATGTGCCTCGTTCCATTAAACATTTCCAACATTTTGGGGATTGATTTTTATACATCTTAGCCAGCCTAGCTGATGGGAGATGCCATGGGTAAAACCTTTTAAATAAATTCTCCTTATATGCTGTGGTGGAAATTTTTAACAGCTGAAAAATAATGTATGTATGTATGTATGTGTTGTGTCCGTCGCAAGGAAGGAGACTCGGAGCCAGTGACTTTAGTTCAGCTCATTTATTGATTCCCGAGATCGGCTCGGGTCCGAAAGAAAAGCGACGGCTTTTATTCTTTGGCCGCGGCGGCCGCGGCCAATGGCACCGCTTTGAATCTCTCGCGATTAGTTTCCACCAATCGCGGGAGATTCGCGGCGGGCCAATCAGTGCGGCTCGCTCGACCAATCAGCTCGCCGTGCGTCTTGACCAATCACTGCGCGGTTCTACAAGAATGGTAATGACCGTACAGAACACCCCTCCCCTCTTGGTAGGGTCCTACGTAACATAGTCCCGTAAGTAGGCGGGGCTACGTACTTGTCTACTTGACCTGCGCAGGTTAGTTGGTGCTTGGCTCCCGGCCGGTTCGGTTGGGTTCTGTGTTGCTCTCTGCCCTGTTGATGGAACCGTCTGGAAGGCTGAGCCGGGCCTTTCGTCGCAGCTCCCTCCTGGTCTACCCGGTCTGGTTGAGCTGCGGTTTCCGCTCCCGCCTGGTCTTTCCGGGCTGGTTGAGCTGGCCTGGCTGCTTCTCCCTGGTGAGGTGTCGAGCTGGCTGCTTGCTGGTGAGTATTCCTGGTTTCTTTCTCGTGGGGTTTGGTCCTTGGGGCCTTCCCTCCCCTCTTGGGTTGTGTTGGGGGGGTTCCCTTCTGTGTTTGCTTCTGTTTGCGTGTCGGTTGTGTTTCCCGTGGCTGTTCTTGACCTTAATTGGTCGATGTGTCGTTTCCATGCTCGTCCGTCGGTTGTCTGTAAGCGTACCGAGCGTGGGCCTGTCACTTGGGTTATGGTTGCTGGTACCCAGAGTGGGTCTCCGGTGAGGTTTTTTGCGTATACTGCGTCGCCTATTTTAAATATTCGGTCTTTGCTTGAGGAGTTTGGGGGTTTTTCTGGGTTGTATGTGGGGTGCAGTCTGTCGAGTGGGGACCTTAATTTTCTCCCCATCAGTAGTTCTGCCGGGCTTTTATTGGTTGTTGTATTCGGGGTTATGTGTTGTATGAAAAGCATTTTGTTTATTTTCTCTTGGATTTCCCCGTTTTCTATCTTTTGGATAGTTTTTTTTGTAAATTGAACCATCCGTTCCGCCCTCCCGTTCGCCGCCAGATGTGCCGGCGCTGTCAACGCGTGTCGTATCCCCCGCTCCGCTAGGAATTTTTCGAATTCCAGCGAGGTAAATTGGGGCCCGTTGTCGGATACGATGACGTCTGGGAGGCCATGGGTTGCGAATAGTTTGCTGAGTTCCTTGGT